AGGTTGACTTTTTGATATCGGGGTCGAAATCCGATTCTGAAAATTTTCATAGCTCCGTTATGTCATTTATGACTTGTGTGCAAAATTTGAAGTCATTCCGAATTGATTTGATGTGTTTCGACACAAGATATAGAATTTGAAAGTTCAAAGTTCATAGATTTTGATTTGAGGTCGTGACAGTACAAGATTAAAATACCCACGTAAGTGAGTCACATTGGGATGCTATAAAGTACGATTATTGAAGTACAATATCACAGCTAAGTGGATCAGGAAAATCACTTCGAATATTCCTCGATGCAACGTAAGCTCTAGTGGCAATGTTTTACGTAAGAAGTTTCAAGATATCATTGGTAGATTGTAGATCAACATTGAGATAAATCAACAATGGATTGATAGAAGTTACAAAGTACGAAATGAGATATGGCAACATTAGTAAGTACGACAAAGTACCGACCGAAGAACTTCAATATACCTATAGATGCCCAGGGGGACATCTTATCAAGCTCTGCATATGTTCACAAAGTGAGGCCTAAAGATTGGTTAAAAGCTGGAGTTAAAGGAGAGAAGATCGCATAGGCGTACTTAGAAAGTCAGAGCCGTACAAGCTGCATGATAAAAGGTAGAAACAGTTACAAGATTGGGAAGATTCCGATCACAAGCCATGGTATGGGAAAGAGGCCTAAAGGGGGGAATTCCCTGGCCTTTGGATTTATTCACAGAACAGTTACCTAAATGGCAAGGAGAGTATTAAAGTATTCGCAAGAGCTATGGGTGATGAGAATGATAAGTGTATCAGTCAACATTCGAGAACGAATGTTCCAAAGGGGGGAATGATGTTATATCCCATATTTTCGTACGTCAAAGTACGCCATAAGTAAATTGATGGAAGCTCGGAAATGAGATATTACATCCCACATTTTTGTGTGTTAAAGTTTCGTCGTAAGTTAATCGACGTAAGTTCGAAAATGGGATTATTTTGAGATTATAAGCAATATGCTATTGAAAACAAGTGATGAGTAAATTTGTGAATGTGAGAGGGCAAGCAAATCAAAGAAAATGAATTTCGTCGAAGTTTGACATTTTGGGATAAAATACAGCCCAAGCTATAATACCTCGTAGTTATGGAATAATGTCATTCAAGGTACCACATGACCATGATAGTGAGGTGTATAAAGTGTGTTAAAAGTGAGTAATATTTTAAGTAATTTGAGATAATTCTTAATTATGTGAATAATTGGGTAATTATAAATTTTTAAGTGGGAGATTAACTTGTAAATTGAATTTTGTGAATAATTATTTGAATAATTGTTAGGGGGGACAAACCCACGTGTGATTTAGGAGGACTTGGCAGCAAGCTAAAGTTAATTTAATGACTCTTGAATTATGATGGAGAGGTGTCACACTTAAGTTGATTTGGTGGCTTAGTCATTAGATGTGGGGCCCACAGCATATTAAGCATAAAAAAGAAACATATCTACTTTAAAGAGAGGTGCTTATGTCCATTTGATAAGAAACGGATATTCACCAAGAATTCAAGCAAAAATACCGTATCATCTTAGCAACGTGAAGTGGCTTCAATCTTTCATACAAAGACTATGTAATATTATAGCAACCGGATTTTAAGATTCTAAGGGAGTGCGGTACAATCTTTCTCAAGGAATATCATACGGATTTTCTTCTACTTCGATTTGTCGTTACATATTTTGTCGCAATCAACGTGTATTGGAGGGATTGTCAAAAGAATCGATTCAGGTATGTTAAGGCTATCCCTTCTTTCTTTTGGTATGATCTATACGACACAAATGAAACGAACAAATGCACAACTTTCATAAATGACTCTATTCATAGAAATGCTAGGGGTGTCTATATTCTTGATTCCCCATGTGAATTATTATTATATCTTCTGTTCATGGGTCTCAGAAAAATACATATTTGATAAAGTTTATCTGAAAGGCATATTGATTTTTATGACATTCCGAGAAATCTTATTAACTTAATTCTTATGCATTTTATGCATTTATACATGCACATTGACCCATGACCAGATGACGTTATATACGCGTATATATGTATAATATATGTATATAGGATATGGGAAAAGGTTATGGCGTTATATACGCTCCACCACCTGATCAGCTAGTATACGTTGATGAATTGCCCACAGTGGCCAAGATGATATAATGGGATGCCCTCAGAGGCTTGATGATGTTATGAACGCATATACCCATGCATGGTATGACATTTATACGCATATGCATGACATTATAATATTAAATGATTCATAGAGATATTCAGATATATATGTCGAGTCTTTTACTCCATGTCTCTCTCATGTCTATTGTCTATTATTTACTGATTTTCATTCCTTACATACTCGGTACATTATTTGTACTGACGTCTCTTTTGCCTGGGGACGCTGGTTTTAATGCCCGCAAGTCCCGATAGACTGGTCGAGAGTCCTCCAAGTAGGCTATCAGCTCAGCGGAAGATGTTGGTGCGCTCCATTTGCTCCGGAGTTGCTTGTTTGGTCAGTATGATATAGACGTGTATTGTTTGGTATGGTGGGATCCTGTCCCGACCTTTATGATAAGTATGTACTCTTAGAGGCTTGTAGACAGATGTCATGTATATGGATATTTGTATGGCCTTGTCGGCCTATATGTTAAGTATATAACGGATCACATTGGCCTTATAGGCCCGTATGTCATCAATATGAGTTTCTATATCAGGTTGGGTCGTTCTATGTCGGGTATTCCCTCATGTTTACTCTGATTATCTCATGACGCCCCTTGTAGCCCACTTACGTTGGTACTCGGTTGAGTAAGGTACCGGGTGCCCGTCGCGGTCCATCGGTTTGGGTCGTGACAAGAAGAATTTAGTATTTGCCAAAATTGTCGCGTTCTGAGCTTTAATACAGTGCTTGATGGGTCTATAGAGATGATTACACCCAAAATCGAAGCTTGATTCTTGTCCCGTCTCGCCGGAAATCACCATGGCCGATGGGATTGAGTGAAAGAGAGAAGAGAGAGAAGAGAGAGTAGAGAGATGAGAGAGAAACTGAGCGGAAAAAAATGATAGAGCAAGCAAGTTTTTCAAACTTTATATGTGACCCACAAGTTTCTAAAATATTAAAAAGGCCCCATCCACCCTAAACCACTCATTTAACCATTTTCCAACCCAAAAGAAATTGAGAAAGAAAATGGGAGGTCACTTGACCAATTCAAGTGTTGAGGAGGTCTTCTTGCCAATTCCTCTCTAATTACATGATCACCAAGTAATTACTTTGTCAGACAAACATGTCAAATCTGTGTAATTACACCCAAATCCAATTACAGGGTGGCTTTCCAAAAAGGCCCTAAAAGACCCTTAAACTTCTTTCATAAAATCCATATTATAATGAGACAAAAAAAAAAAATAACGTACATGGCTTTGATCCAGTGGTAAAGGGCAATGCATAATATGTTGGTTATCAGCACGTCATGGTATTGAACTCTCTCATATACAAAATATGATATTAAGGGAAAATGATAAAATTGTGAACCCATTATTCTTCGAGTTCTGAACTTGCGACACTTATCTCAGAGATTTCTTAGCTAAAAAAGATGAAACACAAAAAAATCTACTTTCTAATATTTGCATCAATCAAATGAGGCAAAAAAATAAATAAAAAAAATTAGACAATTTAGAAAATTTGAGTTGGAAAGTAAAATTGTGAGAAATATGAAAAAGGTTATACATAGAGGAAGAAAAGTAAAATTGATGAGAAAGTAAATATATTATTTAATCTAATAAGAGAAAAAATTATCGTATTAACTCCCTCAATTTAAAATTTAATTTTTTATTAATAATTATATAGATTATATAATAATATAGTAATACTTCATATTTTTGAAACCTTAAATATTTGGGACCTTAAATATTTGGAAGCCTTAGGCAAAAGTTTCACCTGCCTTACCCTAGAGCCGATGCAAGCAATTTTACTTGAAAAAAGGAAATATTGAAATAGTCTGAAATTGGCAGGAAGCCCATAGTCCCATATAGCAACTTTGAATTAAGCAGGGGCATATTTATTTTACCAATTTTCTTCGTTTTTCTAATCATGGACCGGCCCACTTGGCCGGTTTAGGCCCGGAACCGACCCACTTGCCACCCTTATAGTAAGGTCTTCTATCATTCTAATTCTAAAATTAGAGCATCAATGTGCAATAGATTTCTTTATTCATGTTCTTACATTGTTGTTCCACACCTCAACTTGATTCATTTTTCACTGCCATTAACAGCTGCTAAAGAACAGAAATAATACTGTCCTCCAAATACAGAAAATCACTTGACCCTCCAAATACAAAATATCATAATAAGACATCTAAAATTCTCAACTGAGAAAGAAGAATAGCAGGATTGAAAATAGTCTCTTTAACAAAAATCATTCTGCCTCACATATGTACTCTCGTGCCTGCTATATTTGCCTCTTCCTCCATGTCTTCTCGCTAAGCAGCTCAAGCTGTTGCTGCTTTAAGCCTAGAACTGACTGCTTCCCATGACACGAGCTTCTCCATAAAGATGGATATGTAGTCAGGCCGCCGGTTCTACAAGCAAAACATGGTAGTGCTACCGTTAAGAGAGTTCAAACATATGTCTTGAGGAAACATGGAACATCAAAGAAAATATTTAAGTAGTTTCATCAGCCAGGCTTACCTGAAAGTCCAGATAGTAGGCATGCTGCAATATCAAACACAAAATTAAAAGAATAAGACATCACTTCCTAAATCATTTCAACCACCCGCCTTCCAACGGGAGAGAGAAAAAAAAAAAGAAAAAAACCCAAATTCAGATAGATTTAAGACAAGTGAGTGTGTCTACTTACCTCCCAAACGTCTATGGTGAGGAGCGGCTGCAACCAAAACCACAGTTGTGAGATTCCACTATATTATTAACTACTAGGTATGTAAGATAAAACCACAGTAGTGAGGTTTGCACTATAATACTAACTACTAGGTATGTAAGATAAAATCCTCATGAACAAAAGAAACAGAGAAGCACACGTTATACTCACTGTGTAACCCAAAACAAGAGGATTTTCAGCGTTAGGAGTTTTCACCAAGGCAAGCTTTTTCTCTTCAGGTTTGTCTACAAAGTAACAAATGCATCACTTTTCAGCTATTTGGCTCAGTTTTAAAAAAGGGTTATACGGACACATAGATATGCAGACAAAGGCAAAGAATTTCTCACATGCAAGCCAGGCCCAACCGGAGCCAAATTGTGTTGCCGCAGCTGCCTTAAATTCTTTAACAAATGCATCATAGGAACCAAAG